GTCTCGGCCAGGTGACAGAAGCCAAAGCCTTCATCACAGGGGCGAACGCTCAACTTACGACCAGAAGATAGTTAGAATGCAGGATAAGCTAATCCCTGATAAGCCCCGTTTAGCACCAAACATTGTATATGTAATCGAATGATGAATTAAGTATACAACATTAACTTTTTTCTAACACATACCCAATAGCTTTCGAAGCGGACAGTTACTCGAATCCCCTACAAGTTATAAAGTTAAGTGCTTTTGATAATATCGTAAACAATGTGAGTAAGAGAGTTCTGAAAAATCAAATATTTGGTTTGGTATCTTATGAGGTTTTTGATTATTAAATTGTAGATGATGTAATCATAATATTATGACAACGAAGGGCGTTGGTAATAAGTCCCCAAATGTCCTCCCAGCATCCTCCTCCCCTATCGCCCACCGTGTATAAAACAGCGAACTCGTGAATCACTCAGTAGTAGTCCCCATTACGCCCTCCCTAGATCCTTCCCCTCCACCTTCTGTGTTCAAACATACCAGCCGCGAAACACGTGAATCACTCTCAGTTAAAAATCCAACAATGATTCACATGAACCATTTACCAAAATCTGCATGATTCATGATCGGAGGAGCTACTAAACTTCTTTACCATTTTTTACCCTCCCTTAAAATTCTACAATATGTTTATTGACACTCATGGTCGACTGTTAATATTCGACGGTTGGAGATGCACTCCACATATTTACCTCCCATTCTCCTATTTTATCTTTCCTTCGAATTATGTAAGAAATTTTAATTGCTTTCTGGAACGACTTCTGAAATTAGACAAACTGATTTTATGCTTCCGAACTGAAACACAGTTAATGATTAGTAAAACGAAATGTAGATGTGTTTGTGAAGAGAAAAGCATATTATAGGATCCAATACTAGAAGATTATTGAGTAATACGTGTGGAATTTTGGTGTTAAAGTTATGAGCCTTCTGGCAGAGTAAACGCTAAATATTCATGACGCAATCTCCAAAAACAACGAATAGGTATTAGTCATATACCAAAGAAATAGAAAAAAGAACTGGAAAAGTGCGTACACCGCCAGCAAACTAGCAGTAGTCAGCAATTCTACCTCAGCCATGTCTAATTTTAGCTTTCTCCTAGTCAGAAAACAACGTCCAAAGATGAACGGCTGCAATTATAATCAAGATGTAGAAGTCAATATGACCAGTTTTCTATTTTTTGTTTTTCTGGTACTTGACAAAACCCAACTGCAGATAGATGTACATAGCATGAGTATGGTGCCGTATCTTGTTAAACAAAATCCATTTGCGTTTTCTGAATCTATATACTTTCTGTCGACCGTTAAATTTCTTAGTCACCTGCCGTATATGGTTTTAAAGAGACCACAACGTTTGAAAATCTTAAACTCTGCATATTTTTTTGGTTATTTCGGTATCGCACTATCTTACGCTTCATTGAGCTTGCAACTCTTATTCTAAATAGATGAATTGGTCGACATTTTGTGTGAATTATTTTACTAAGGTAGCTCATACCTCAAAGGGGAAAAGACGATATCATTAAACTTTCACTATATATTCCCATCGCTGTTGCGATATTAATCATATTTAACTTCCTTGAAAAACAAATTGTATACAAATAGTAGTACAAAAGATTGTACGGTTCATTAATTTTCAAAACGCAACAGCTCTGCAATTTAGTTCTGAAAGTGAAGTTGGCCTTTAACGATACCGCTCACATAATAATTTTCGACGTTCGGCCGAACATGGGTCATTTATCCTCACTAAAAGCCACTATGATTATGCATGGTCATAAAATACAAAGGAAACTTTTTGTTATGATTTCCTTTCTACAAATTTTCAAAAATGACTTGCAGAAATGTGTTATTTAGGGAACAAAACGTTACGTGTACAGTGTGTTAGTGACGCGGTGTTGATAAATGTATTTTATGCACTTTTAACTGAAGTAAAAGGACAAATGTTAAACGTTCTCCTAATTAGAGCAACTCTATCTCAGATCTTTCTATACAAATCATAGAAAACCAATATATTATTTTGTTTTAAAAATGGTGGAATCTGTCAAACTATTTTTGAAACTAAGCATGTTTATTCAAAGTTCTAATACTTTTCATTTTGAGAGGTGAATTATCTTAACCGTTTACACTCAAATCAAATATGGAAGCTTTACTAGATTTAGATAAGTCACTGTCATTTTTGACAACCGTTTCAATGATTCTGATTTGATGGGTTGACACTAAACGTCGAAACGACATGGGAAGTCCGGAATAATTTTTAACTATAATTACAAATACAGGACACGAGTCTGTGGGCGAGTTTTATGTTTGTAAAATAACATCGAATCAATTTGATGTCGCGTAAGTGTTCCAGCCTTTGACATTTGATACCAATATAATTTATGGACAATTATCGGGGCACATTATGGTAATTGAGTCCTTCTGTTCTAGCGCCATGAACGTTTTGTCAGTAACAGAGTTTCTCAATATTATTTTGTTGTTGTTGTTGTTAGATGTACCACCCAAACACGTTGTAGGTCCCATGCATGTAAGTTCTGCACTTCAAATTGTTATTGCAGGATAAGAAATCAATGACTAAACCGAATCCTTCCCTACACTCAAACACTGGAGGGAATTCTCTTCTTTCAACTTTTTAAGTCACCAGGCTCCAAAATCCTGAAGCAATCCTAATAGTCGTTTAATCTGGTTAACCGTAATCTGTCGTAGCCTTCTCTTACTTCTGAACTAAGCGTACTCCTACTTCTGAACTAAGCGTACTCCTACTTCTGAACTAAGCGTACTCCTACTTCTAAACAAAGTGTACTCTTATTTCTGAACTAAGCGTACTCCTACTTCTGAACAAAGTGTACTCTTACGTCTAAACAAAGTGTACTCTTATTTCTGAACTAAGCGTACTCCTACTTCTGAACAAAGTGTACTCTTACTTCTGAACAAAGTGTACACTTACTTCTGAACTAAGCGCACTCTTACTTCTGAACTAAGCGTACTCCTACTTCTAAACAAAGTGTACTCTTACTTCTGAACTAAGCGTACTCTTACTTCTGAACCAAGCGTACTCCTACTTCTAAACAAAGTGTACTCTTATTTCTGAACTACGCGCACTCTTACTTCTGAACAAAGTGTACTCTTACTTCTGAACAAAGTGTACTCTTACTTCTGAACAAAGTGTACTCTTACTTCTGAACAAAGTGTACTCTTACTTCTGAACTACGCGCACTCTTACCTCTGAACAAAGCGTACTCTTACTTCTAAACAAAGTGTACTCTTACTTCTGAACTACGTTTACTCTTACTACTGAACAAAGCTTACTCTTACTTCTGAACTAAGCGTACTCTTACTTCTGAACTAAGCGTACTCTTACTTCTGAACTAAGCGTACTCTTACTTCTGAACTAAGCGCGCCTCTTACTTTTGAACTAAGCGCACCTCTTAAGTTAGTGTCCTCTGTAGAGGTTGCAGCTTATTCCTTTTGGTGTGCCGTTTATTTAAGGATAGACCTGCATTTTGTCGGCGATATGGTAGTATGAACGCAGTTGGCAACACACATATTCTATGGTGCGCGTGAGCGCTCCATAAAGCAAATGTTCGTTGCCAACTGCGTTCATACTACCGTATACGCCGTCAAAATAACGACCAATCCTTATATTTACATTATAAATTATGTCCAAATGCTATACAAGAAAAAACACATTCGAAGCGGGGTGCTACAATGGTAACCACGGATGATATAGTTCCAGTGAATGTTCATCGGTTTATTGGTATATTTAGAAAATACGCAGTGAGCAACACTATTTTCTTCTTTTCATCGCTTGTGAATTTTTAATTACGTAATATTAGTAGCACTTCCAACATATTTATTCATTAATAACGGTCGTTATGTACACGCATTGGCACACTGTTCTGGTAGAGTTGTGGTCGAACGTCGCAAAAGGAAGCCGCCATTGTTTGATTTACCGTCAAGGAATTTTGAATGTGCATCCATGGAATAAGAAGTTAGTCAGCATCATCAGAAATAATGGATACAAACTATGTTCCATGGTTCTAGATGTTGAAGGAACCAAACAATGGCTGTCATCGAACAGTTATCGCGCTGAAGCGTGAACGGTGCCATATTTGAAACATATATCAATCCACAAGGCCTTTTTTTCATTACGTATACGCTAATTTGTACGCAGACAAAGTTTATTAAGCTGAAGAAGAGAGAGATGTAAATATTTGTATTTGTGCACAGACGCCAATACACTGTGTCTAATACCAAGCCAAACAGAGCACTATGGCAGACTGCAGATAGCGCTATCTCTACAAATCACCTGGACAATTCCGACACAGAGCAAACTGATAGTTTAGATATGTATATTATGTCAGACTTACAACTGGAATTCCAAAAGATGAAAACATTTTGATTCCATGTGTATTGCATCAACACGACTGCAGAGGAAGATGTTAGCCCAACACTATCGGGGATTGGGGCGGAGGTGGGAAGGGGATAGGTCTGGTATTGTCTTGAATTTAAGCGTAAAGCAAATTGCTATTGAAAATGGAAGATACACTTTGTTTGGTACACAACATTTACTCCTAAATCTGTCCTTTTTAACGTACGTAGTCTGACATCCTGTAATGTTCAGCACACAGCTATAAAACTATTTTATAATAATACCTACAAAATTAAACCTTTGTTCTCTGTTACTTGTGTTACCATGTTGTGGTCTTACAGAGTGTTGGATAAGACAGGATTTACTGTCAGCAATTCCACAATCTCCACACACGTCAGCTGTTAAAGGACAAAGGAAGGACAACATAACAGGTTGTAACTAGATTTTAAACAAACAAGGTGTGTCCCTGGTAATACCCCATTGACCATAGGTTATTTAACTTTGATACGAGAACAGAAGCCGTTACACAATACGTACACTTAGATTATAGCTTCTGACTTACTAACATACAGAACTATTCCATTGATGGAGATTTAACTCACCTATAAGTTTTACTGGATTATTCCGGTTCGGTGAAGGTCATGTTAGGCAGTTGTTGTAAGGATCTACACTCTCTGATTCCTTATACACTCCTTAGTGTGGTAATGATATATCCTGCAAAAATATAAACAGATGTTTAAGTTTTGCTTCCATGCAGTAACATATGATTGGTTCAGCCAAATATTTGTTAAATTACGATTTGATGTAACAGAGGCCCATAGATCCGTTGTCTCCGCCTGGGATTGAACCCGGGGCTTCTAGTGTACTTGTCCGATACTGTACCTAACGTGCTAAGGAGACATTTCTCTAGTCAAATCAATAGGCGACAGTAGGTATATCATGACAGTGATATACACTCCTCCGGGAGAGAATTAATCCCAACAATTTCCATGAGTATTAGAATAACTTGTGAAGGAAGTGTGAGTATTTTTATCAATATTTACCGAGTCTACACGTGGTCATCAATGTAACAGAGGAAATTATTTTTGCAATGCATTTTAGCAAATAAATACTCCAGCGGATTATGAAAAGTCAAGTCCACCTTAATCATTTCTTCAATTTGAAATATTTGGCTGAGTCGATACATATTTGTGATGGTCAGTATATATCCTATTAACGCACTAATCATATCGTATTATAGAGCCTTAATACTGTTTATTACAACATTAGTCGTGGTGGCGTACCCCATCAGCACTCTAGCGAGATGAATAACGTACATTTGTGTATGAACATAGGGGTAATACTGTAGGAGTGTTACAGTTTTTCTAACACACTTAATCACTCGTAATACGAGGTCAGGAATTAAACAGGTACTTATAATCAAGTTTGTTGATTCAGAAAGACAAACAAAGTAAACATTTAACTGTACCATATTGTCATTTTGTCTATAAATAACTCAGTGGCTTCAAACTAAAAATAATCACAACCATACATACATATTGTACATCAAACACCTTTACTTTATACACAATGTAACGTGCTGCAACGTTTAAAGACAGACTGGTCCCTTGTCAAGCTATAACTCTATCAAACCTTTCGATACGGTTACTAAGTGTATCGTTTGTGTATAATTCTTTGATAATGCATATTTCCAAACTGATGAGTCTTATTTAAGAAATCACGTACAGAGTTTCAGATTTTTTTAAAAATATTATTACAGAGTACAGCGAAAAGGCAACGTTGATAAGATAACCTTTCATTATATTATACCTTTTAGGATCGACAAATTATACAAGTTAAACTAGTTGTCCGTGTATAACGGTTAACCCCGGGGACAGACGGTCCACTAGTAGAGTCAACCACTCTGTGACGTGACAGTATCACCAGCAATCAGAACTAAGGAAGCACCTACTAATATAATAGAGCATGACTATCTTTCACAAAAGGGTTTCACACATTTTTTAAATGCCATGTTATATTTATTAATGGAAATTAACCCTTTAATTAATGGATGACATTTGTTATAACCCCGGAATATAAATAATAACACTCAGGTATTTATTTAAATCACAAGATGGAGATAGCACTAGCACACAGGTGTAAGGTTCATGTATCAGACAAGGAAATTACGACGAATTTGATTGGCTAAGAAGATTATCTGTAAAAGTACATTTTACATTAGACTGATTTTTAAAATTAAGTTTCCTATAAAAAGTGTGTTTTCAATTATCTTGTTTAAAAAAAAAAAAATTTGAAAATTGGAAATATTTTAGATCAGTTATTTATTTTCAATAATTTCCCAAATGTTAGTGTTGGTTCACTGCGACGCTGATCAAAGTGATAAAGTTATAACGTTATCAACATGTTGGCTTGTTCTCTCGATTTCATTGTTAATACCGGCTGGTGATAGGGTGTTAGTCAAGGAGACATGGCCTAGGCATTCCTTTTATGCTATACATATCGATATATCCGTTTTTCAGACAATGATAGCATTATCATTAACGTATATATTGTCGTATTTCACATCCATATATGTACATATAACTGATACATTGTTAAATATATCGGTTTATACCCAAGTTGGACTCATTGAAACTTCCAAATCTTATCTGTTTCATTTGCTCATTAAAACAACTCAAAACCAATTCAATTCATCGCCCATGGAAATTGACTTAAAAACAATGAATATATTTAAGAACAATAGTGGGCATTCTTACAAACCTTAGATTTAATTTCCATATATTCCGTGTTCCGTTTTAACTGTTTATATCTGTCTACTCTTAAAAAAAGTAAATCTTATCGCAAGCCCATTTCGAAGGAGGTGAGGAACTAATATGCGACTAAATTTATCAGTCTGTGAATGATAGGGTTCAATACATATCATATTAATATCTTTTAGGTTCGGTTCATTTGAACCCATGAAGCTCGAAATGATGAACAACAATCACATAGCTTTATGCAAAACGATGTTGAACTTTATTATAACAACTGGCGGACTATTGGCGGAGAGGATCAGACATCTCCGTCACCTCGTTAGAGCACTAAGTCCAACCTACCAGGCCTCGTTCGCTTATTGATACATCAAGTCTAAAGTTCAAAATCATTTTGTTTGTAAAAGACGGATGTAGAAATACAAGAATTGATATTTCTTCTGTATTGTATGCGGGTGATCACTTATGTTTTAGAGTTTTTATATTTGTATTTCCAGTTTTAAAAATATTGACAAAATTACCGATTCATTTTTATGCTCAGTACATCCGATCCCTGTCATTGTACAATAAAGAACACCTGCAGATTTATAAAGTCCGGATAAGAATATTAGCCGGTGCCCTATCGGTAGTATGACTTATCTCTTAAGTACGGATTTACAAGTAAACCTCTCCCTCCAGGCAAAGTTTTCTCTAGATTGGATAACTGGCTTTCTTTTACAACCATGTACACCTCCACATTTTCCTTATCCTATTCCCAATATTTCGACAATGTAAGAGTAACGAAGAACAAACGTATTCTTTGTGTATTTCTTTGCAAATTTATTCAAATTTTGTATATAAACTTGTGTCTATCGAAGTTGTGAGCACAACTGATCAAAGATATCCTCATTCATATATTACGACAATTTGTTTTTCATGGATTGTAAAGAGAGATGAAATTGAACATTTATTAGCAAAGCAAATGAAGTCCACATAACAAACGCTAAAGTTTATGATATATCTCTCCCCAATACATACTACGAATAAACTAAAACGATATATATTGTTAGACATCCATGTCAGTGGGAACATACAATTTGATTAAAGTCAGAGAAGTGAAAAGGTCATTCTCTTCACTGGTCCTTGTTTGTACTCCGGACACGAGCTGCCGGACAGCTGACCCGCCTGTGTGTACGTGCAGGTGTTATCCCCGGTAGAAAGTCTATTGGCAAATTAAAGCTGCATTCCGTTTAAGTGTGGCGAATCTCAAACTCTTAAACTAAAGGATTATGCACTGAGCTCCATTACCTTCAAATAAGAAATAAGGATTTTGTGTTCTGATATGGTTTATTTTGTAAAGTAAGATTTTGATTGAAAGAAGACGCAGATGTTTTATCAGGTTTGATGTTTAAAATAATACAGGAATGAAACGTAATACATACTTTCGCGAAGCAAAGTATTCAATATTGTGATATAATGTTACAGAGGTCGAAACTTAAATAGCACTGTCGTGTAGAACATCTTACTGTACTGAAGTATACTGTAACACTTAATCCCTTATGTTCTGTAACCAATATCTCTATGTGTTCTGTAACCAATATCTCTATGTATTTATGGTGAAAGTCACGTTTAATACCTCGCCTTGTAAACATAAATATTTTATTTCCACCAGTATGTGATTAGTGATGATAGTGACCTATCATCGATTACAGCTTACTGGTCATTTACATAATGGTACCAGCCTGCTACATGTAGGGTACAATTAATACCATGCACCTACCTGGTCGAGTACATGTGATAATCATAACCTTTATCAGAAGACAACTCGGGCGATGAAAGTAAAGTACAAGTAGCCTTACCATTAACTGTGGTATTAAACAAAAATAAACAGAAATATAAGGCAGGCTTAGTAACAAATGATTCTTTCTGCGATGAACTACTTAACGAGAAAGAAATGTATAAGGAATGAAAGTCCGTCATAATAAATAATAAATGACTATAATAAAACAAATATACACATATCACATTCTACACTTTTTATTTTCATTTTGTGAATTAAAAAGGCTTGAAAAAGTTATTTTAATCACGTTTTCGAAATAACATTACGAGAAAATTCCTGATGTACAATAGATAATATTTGGAGATATAAGCAAGGTGGCATAGTACTAGTAGTTAGCGCCTGATAAGGCAGCTCCTTCGAATTCTCCCAAACAATTGTACTGATTACTGTATATGCTAATTGTATATCTATGTACTGTAAAGCACTTTAGAGTGGCTTATCTTAGCTAGATAGGGCGCTATATCAAATGTTGTATATTTTATATTATTATAAGATTTATAAAACATATGTAAGAAATTAGAAACGTTCCTCTCGAGTACACGGGAAGGAAGTTGTTTTTTATCATTACGGTAGTCTAGTGGTAGGACTACGGGCTCGTGAGCAAGATACTTTACTCAGCTTGTTCCAGTCTACTCAGCTGAGCACGTGGTTGGGCAGTGCTAGAAATGTTGAATGCTAGTTTAAGCGCCGAAATGGTAGCACTGGCCATATGTTCCACAGGGAGTCGAGAAAGATATTGGCCGGTTGCAAAGGCACTATAACTACGGATACTAATTTGTGAACCGCTTTGAGACGACCTACGAACTAGGTTGTGATAAAGCGGTATATAAGAACCTCGCATTATTATTAATTATTAAATCAACTTGAATGAATAAATGTGTGTTAGATAACCTATTGTTTTACGAAGTTCATATTTTTCAGATGTACATTCTAGATAATTTAAAAAACACATTGACAATTGTTTTACATGCATTACCATGTTGCTTTCAGAATAATTTATTGGCTCCTTTTTTACTAATGTAAAGCCATATTAACAGTGTCAAAAAACGTGGTTACTCACTGGGCACTTTATAGTGTAATCCCACTGTAATGTCATAGCCTGGACACAGTAGAACAAATCCCCTACCGGGTCGCAATTAGTACTGGTCACGCGAGAAAGCGCACATCTGGAATACATATCTTTTAAAGAAAGCAATTCTTTAAAAAATAACATTTTTTCCGGAACGTAATACTGTTAATTAATTTGAATCCAATCCACGTATGGAAAAAATCTGTCGATTTACTGTAACTAGAGTAATGTTTCCGATTCCTTATCGTAGTATCGATATGATTGTTAAAGTGGAGTGAAAGACTATACGACTTTTATTGCCTTGTATTTTGTGTCATTTAAACCCTTCGTTTATTTTTGTCCAGGCAATTTTAATAAACACACCAGTAATGCACCAAACAGGATACGCTAGTAAATTATCCGACGAAAAATAGCTTTGAGTTACTTATTAGCATAACCCACTCGGTAATAACCTCAATTATGTTCGTTAATGAAGTACATGCTATCAGGAAACTAGCTATAACGTCAACGGAAATATCAAATTATCCATTTTGTTGAAAATATGACGTCATATCCGAAATCCTACTCTCTCTTTTGTTTAAGATATAGCTGTCCTCTTATGACCGGCAAATCAACGCAAACCGTTCATCTAGAATATATCTCAAAAATATCTAAAATCAAAGCTAATATTTCATAGACATCGACTCAGAAATATATCTTAAGACATACAAAACAAAACATATTTATAATATTAAGATATATTTTCAGTGTAGCATTTTAATTTTTGTGTAAATGTGTCGATAAGCTGATCAGGGTTTTTAACAATTAAGAAATACTGACTGCATTGCTACTCTCTACAATACTATAACCTGATACTAATACAGGGTGTGACAGAGTTGTGTAGGTCACGGGGTCACCGGGTCACTTACCTCGTAAACTACCCACGGCACTAATACAACAAACACATAACAGTACACACCTGTATGATCGAGGACTTTTTACGATAATCACACTTTGATCTATTTCACCCAGTGAGTTATGAGCTGTGTTTATTGATCTACTCTGCTTAAGGTGTACGGTGACATTTTATTTGTAGTAATTTTTAAGGTTAATTAACATAAAAGAGGCTTGGTGTTTTATTTAAACAGAATATACAAGTTTTAAGTGTATGCTATTTTGAAAGGAAATGAGTACTTTACACTGACGAATATAATTCAGAAACACGTTCTTAGTACTTGTACACTGTTCGTTTCGTTATGCATTAGGGGCGCATCAAACAAAAGAAAAGATATATAGGCAAACACTGTTAAAGTCACTAAAGATGTATGACAGCCATCCGGGGGATCAGTACCGTGTATAGGTCTAGTCACGGTTAGCATTATATCCACGTTCATGCATGAAAAATTAATCGCAGAAGAGAACATGCGATTTCGAAATGGTTAAAATGTTGTATTACTGATACAGAAATCATTGCTGTCGAGTTGATTTTGCGGATCCCGTTAAAAGAGCGTCGCAACAGAAGCTGTGTATACAGTACCCACCAATTTGGGTTTTTTTGTTCTTTGCACATCTGTTATAGAAAAGAATTCCTTTGACATGAGTTTTGTTTTTCACTTACAATTTTATAATATCACCAACTTGCTTCTCAATACCATTTTGTATGAGCTTTAATTCTCCTATCCCACAATGTATGGGTATAAGATTTTCTATAAAAAGTTTAGGCTCTAGAAAAGATTCATGCGAATAAACACATGGATAAATATTACACGAATTATTGAATTTACAAAATAAACCTTGTTTTATTATAAAATCGTATCTTTGGAAAGTAACAACATAATTCAAGACTAGAACGTGATTTAAGCGTGTATGTGCAACATCTGAGGAACGCTTATTTTATGTTCGACTAAATAAAAACGTAATTTACTTTAATGGAGTAATTTCCGCTCTGTCTGCCAGAGATTCATGATAGTAAGGGGAAGCGCTCGGACTCTTATCTAAGTCAATAATTGTTTTATACCGTTAATGAGTAGACATCTGACCTTGTGGATAGGTCAACAACAGAGAAGGTCGTTATGATAGGTTCACCTTAACGCCCTAAGTATTACCGGCCAAACGTCACTACAATCAAACACTCCAAACCTACATATTTGCTATCTGTCAGCATTTGGTATTTAAAGACATATAACTTAAACCTTTATCTCAGACCGCTAATAGGTTGTGACTCTTTTTCTGGTTGATTAACCATCAATCTTGTTTAACAAAGCACCCAGCAAATGATTGTATCTGGCAAAACTCAATCACGTCAATACCAGTTGTATTGTCAATAATCTAAATACAACAATCTCTACGCAGTTCTACAAGACAATGGTCGTTTGGCACACACAGATCAACGGTGGTTTCGACGGCAGTAAATTAAAACCAAACACTGTGTACGACTGTGTTCACTCAGTGAGCGACTTTTCAGGAGAAAACACCAAACCCTGAACGAGTAGTACGCAAGAGGAAACGTAAAGAAATAGTATCAGCCCCGTCTCACTCCTGTGTTAATATACTATGAACAAAAACAAAATGTGCAAAATGACCATTAAGCACTGGCAACAATGTCTATAATAAATAAAGGAGTTTCTAGCTGACAGTGTTCACATTTTACACCCATTATCATTACCAGGAATTCCAACATGGAACTGCTATGTCTTTCTTTATTAAACATAACGTCAACACTGGTTTCTGACACACTTCTTGAATTTGACGTCTCCAGACAATTCTAAAGAGCATTAAAAAAGAAACGTAAACTTTATTTGTTTTTATAACAATAATAAAACAAGTAACTAGTATTCAAACTTATATTAATCACTCTTGTTGACCCGGATGTTAGCGGGCGGGGGTCTTTATGTGGGAGGAAATCGGAGTACCCGGAGAAAACCCACGTTGTCCGGCAGGTGACCCGATACCTGTTCACGTCCGATCGGGGAATCGAACTCCGGTAGCCTTGGTTAAAGGCAACTGCGCTATCCACTGCGCCACCCAGCCACCCAATAAGAGGTTAGACACTCAAATCCCGATGTGATACCAAACGTTGCGCAATTCAAACATTTTACCATCGTGACAGTTGATATGAATACCTCCTCAAACGTATTTCGAAGCCTAACATTAACTATTCCCTCTAGTACGGCGACTTACGTGATTCATAATTCTAAGTGTAATTCACAGGTTACAGTGTATGCTCTCCCATACAGTTGTCTAAATCTTATCGGCCATCTCCATGTAAAATTATTTTTTAATGAAACGCATCGTAAACCGATAAGGACCAAACACGCAAGATACCTAGATATGTACTGTACCTCGGAGATGACGCGAAAAAGACATTATAAGTTATAGGGTCCTTATATTTAACGGATAATCACAAGGTTGGTCATACAAATGGCAAAAAATCTCTCGATGTTTGTACAATACCAAGCCCGGTGAAACTAATCGTCAAACAGAATTAGTGAAACCCTACTGTTGCTTTGCTAGAAATTCAGTAAAATACAAATGAGACGAACAATTAGTGGCAACAGATTCCCTTACGTTGTTTGTCTTTTTTAACTTCATTTTCAGTTCAAATTAATTTTATGAAAGATAGCGCACTTGGCTTTCACAGTCGGGGTTCGACTCACCTATCACATGCTTCCAGATATTGGCACCTGCGCGGCCACACGGGTTTTCTCAGGATACTCCGGTTTCCTCCCACTGTAAGACGCATGTGCAAGTCAATCCAGGCAAACAAAAGTTACTGGTATAAATTGGAAATTTGTAAATGTTGTAAAAACAAAGAAATTTATAAGATTTTTGAATTCAGCTTTAAATTGTATTCATTGAACACAGCCTCTACTTAGATACATGTTTCATCGTTACATGTCATATCACATGTGTCGATCACTTATGTAGGTACAACATTTGACTTGGGTTTTTTCAACACATAGCATGTTTTTCTTGTGTTATATAATGATATGTAGTTACAACATGATCATGAGCAGCCTCCAAAAACACACACGAATACACTACACAGGGGAGGCCGTCCTTAAATGACCATAGCCGTTGATAGGACGTTAAACAATACTTAACCAAACCAAACTAAGAATGTGTGTAATGAAATGTTAAATTAAATATTTATATTTGAGTTTATACGATGTACATATTATTTAACTTTAGATAGCTTTAGATTTTTTAACACAAGACATATAATAACCAGTGCGGTGAATAAATAAAATATTATCTACGAAACATAGGGGAAATGGTGAAGTTGTAAATCTTACCTATACAAAACCCATTGCGTATCGAAGCAGAAGGAAGATATATAAGTCGGCACGTATTCCAAAGTATTTGGCATATGAAGAAATGTACGAGTACGTCGCAAACTTCAATACTAAATAATCGACATACGAGCGCATCTTTGTACACAAACACCAAAGCAGACGTTAACTACAGACAACAGAAAACGTTATTAAATATGTAGACTAGATTACTGAAATCTCGTTAATACTACGAGACTAGTCCGTGGACGGTTCCGTCGGAATTAATTGTAGACATGAATCACACTTCTGCTACAACTAGATGTATTTTGCATGTATATATCAGCACGGTAGCGCAGAAACGACAGCCCAAGTAACGTAGAAAACAAATTTATTAAATGATAAACACTGGTAGTTAGGTTATATCAGAGAAGATACCGTTACTTATACAACAACACAGTAAGTTATCACCCGGATCAAAGACTGTTTACACATATATATGCAATATTAATCGGTTCTGACATCAAACACATAGTGATTTGCACTATTCCATGCACATATAAACAAACTCAATCCGGCAACACAAATCTCCACATCCCTCAATCTATTGTGCGTGTTATCAGTACAGGTCCTCTTCTTGTGGACATTTTTTACAGCCGATGCTTAAAACCCAAATATTGACATGATGACGATGGCTTATTGTAGCGTAGATTGAAGAATATCCTGATGGAAACATTGTCTATATAATCCATCATTCAAGATGATGACGTTCTTATCCACAAAACTGGGGGAAAGACAACAATTCCCTATTATGCCTATAGGGTTGTGATCGTGGGGTATACAACCATTGTCCCTAACTCAACACAATATTAGCCAATGTAGGGCGAATGTGCAAATATTTGCTTGTGTTAAAAACGACCTACGGGTTTAAGGAACATCTCCTTATTCAAGAAGCTGAAGATAAAGTTACTGTTACTGAAGATAGGTTTGGCGTTTATATAAGCATCATATACATACAAGATAAACACACCACGCCACCAATGACCAGATACCTAATACATATCTAACACGTTTACTCACAGGGTGATGAAAAGGAATCGTAATCAACAGTTTAGTATCATGCTTGATAGGGTTCAAACATAAACTAATAATATTATCAACATTTCCTCTAGCTATGTTGAAAAACGATAAGGTATCGTCTATGCGTTCGGAAGTCTTTTCTATGCTAACCTGATACCCTTCCAGGTGTAGCCAGGCTAAGAATGGTCGAGGTTTAAAAAAAACTCCCGTAAAAATACAGTATTCCGTTTCTATATATAAAAGAAAAACTTCATTTGCAATTTGACTTACATAAACAGAAACACAGAGCATGTTTTGTATAGAATGTGTACTTTCTAGTTTCTGCTTCACTAGATAGCTGGTTTAGGCCTAATCACATTAGACTGATATCGTTGAGTTGAGAACAAGGTCATGACCCACTGAGGGCATTCTTTACAGTTCCGTAAATTAGGAGTTGTATCCATCGTAAGCACATACTTAACATTTGTGTACGGTGATCTGGTCACGTTGGCCGTAATGACATTTACAGCGATTAGTGACGTAACGACTTGGTTATCTACTTGATACGAGCTACAGCCATGACCTAGATTCCTACTCGTAACCTTGGAAGATTCTGTCAAGGTTTTCATGTTTAGCGATATAAAGATTCGCTAAAACACTACAGCAAACCACGCAGCGGTGACTGATATGTATCAATTATTTACAAATGTCTATTGGCATTTAACGTGAACATACTTATGCTTTATTTGACATAGACTTTCAACAATAAGCTAGGCTTAGTAGTGTGCTAATGACGTGGGAAGGTGATGTAGCGCCATGGATTTCGGGAATAGAACCAAAAGCAATTTAAAAACAAACATTGTTGACATTTACTTTCCCATTGATCTACAATGTACCTATGACTTGCAGTATTTTTCGTTATGATCTCTTGAATGATAAGATTATGTTATATCCGGCACCAGGGAGAGTATTTAACATGTATAAGCTGATTAAGAAATTCCTTTAGGCATAGAAATCAATCAATACGTCACTGCATTCAAAGTTAACATTTTCATTTTGAAAATTGAGCATCACAATTTTTTACCTTATGGGTTGGGTACATATGTAGGAATTAAATCAATAACATAGGTATGCGATGTTGAAATAGATAAAGCAACACTAGTAAAGTGAGAGGAAACTGTCATTCTCATCAAATGGCAATGCCACCAAATACAGAACTGTTCTTCATGATGTGCAGTCATCATTTATATTACATATATATTGTATTTTTATCATACCGTCAATTTGAAATACAAGTCAATTTTGAATTAAATCATTCAGCGAATAATCATTCAGATATATGCCAAGGGGTGGTGGTGGTGGTGGTGGAGTGTATTGGAGTCGTTTGTGGGGTGGGGAGGGCACGGAGAGGAGGGGGTGTGATCCTGTACAAACTAGCCTGTCCTTTAAAACAAATACAAACTGTATCTCGAGAAAAAGAAACACAGTTTTACAAACGATAGGGTGCCTATGACCATCATGGGGTAAAAGAGTAACAGAGACTGTAAATATGCCTCAGTAATAAGTGTATTCTGGTCACTGGCATTTTTCATAACTCCAGAAGTAGTTTTAATGTTTCTTCAAACGAACGATATAAACATGATTTTGTTCACTTTCCGAAGTAAACTCTGCATGAATTACTTGTAGGAAAGATCTTCCAGTGAAAATAAAGTGATTTATAGCACGATGGCATAAGCTATGTTTACAACGCATAGGAATGCCATGCACGTACATCTTAATCCCATATCTTGTGCACGTGTACGATTTATCTTGTCCGTTCATCTGTATTGATAGTACAAATGCTTTACAACAAACAAGGGAGGTAGTTGTAATGGCAGGAGGAATGGCTATCATGACGCACGTGCTAAATATGATGGTTGGAACAGGCAAATGATTACTTGTCTCGAAATAGCATATACTTGTCTCTAAACGAAAATAGTAAACAGTCACTTAACTCAATTAGAGAATTCTCACTTAAGTGTTCTCCTATTAATATTGTTATAGTTTTACACATTTCAGTTTTCTATTACATCCAATTACGGAATAATTGAATAAAGCAATGTATTTTAGAAGTCGATATTTTGTAAAGTTTTTTCTTTGATTTAATGAAATATAAGATTCACATCCTTTTTCGTACACTTTGATACTTGCAAACTTTATGAGCTGCCGAAGATACAATGAAAAGGTACATTTGCTGTTGATGGCTATGTTTTTAAGCACTGCATAAAGCCGTGGAGCGGTTATCAAAAACATTTTCTTTAAATAGATACTGCATCATCAGAAAAATGTTGATCATACGTTAACGATTCATAAACAAACTAAATATATTTATTTACAAAACTAACTGTTATTTAATCAATGCTGACGAAAACAATTGTGCTCAACACTGTTTAGGTCTTGCGTATAAAGTCATCAGTTTTGTTGTTTTTATAAAGGGCTTTCACCCTTAACCTAAAATATATGATACTCGAATGCTTGTTGTATGAAAAGAATATTGCGACGTATTAGCGTGATGGACATAAGTAATATAACTGAATGATTTGTTTGAAGGTGGATTTATGTCTTTTTATCACCACAGTTATGCGCTTTTTGTGTAAACGACAAAGAAATAAAGAATGTCGACAAGGTTAAGAAATCAAACAAAAACTGAAATAAAGATTTTAAGGATTGAGATGTGATACAAGGACGGTTGTAGCCTCTTTAATATCCTCTTATAGCAGAGAGCAAAGGTCAAATGCTGGGTCTCCTTGGTTACACCAAACTTTGTTATCACGTGATAGGCCACTACCGGCTAATTATTTCCCTTTAAAACCAGCATAGATAGCACAGCTATCTAAATCAATATATGTTCAACAAAATTCCGTGCCTATCTAGATATGTTCTATAATTAAATGCGGCGATCTGTGGTTTATCTTAACTGGACAGGTACTAATTACTGTTACACCTGACCACACTGACAGTGTTTATCGGGAATTGACGGACACATTGTCCGAGGCTGTTTACAGGAATTACGAACTTCGTTCAGAACATGCCGGCGCATTGTGATAGTGATCAATCTAGCGAACCGGAAACTGAATGACCGGAAATAACAACGGCGTTGTCTAAAATGATTATAATATCATAGGAAGGCAATTGTAGATTACTTTATAACTCGTTGTTCGGTATGACCGTACGACCTTATGTGTGACCTCTACTTTATTCGTCTACAATGATATGGTGCTTTCACATGGATAGCTTACCGACCGGAAGTGCAAACAGGTTATTGCATAAATATTCAAAACATTAAAATCAACAAAATGTCGGATGCTGTTCAGAGATGTATTTCAGAGAGACAGTCCTAACATTCTTATATTTGTATTA